TATTATTTGAAGTAATGTAGTTAATTTTTTAATATTTACATCACAGCTCAATTATTTTTAAAAAATACCCTAATTTTTTTTAATATTTAAGTAAATAAAAATTGCTGTTCCACTTTTTTTGGATACTGACTTTCTATCAACTTCCTTGGTCCAAGAGAATCCGCGTCGACACGCTCATTCAATTCATTAAAATAATAATATTGTGCAGTGGCCCACACCAAATAAATCAGCCATTACTTTTTAAGCGAAAAGATTTAAAATATTTTAGAAAAGAAATTGATTTATACTATTTAGGGGTGTAAATAATTGGATTGGTTCGCGTTTTTCAAATATCAAATCAAATTATACATATTGAATTTTTGAATTTATAAATTAAACCAAATCAATAAAATTCAAATTTTTCAACTTCAGAATTTTCGGATTTTTTCGGATTTTCGAGTTTTTTTCGATAAAATATTCATACAAACATATAATTTACTTGTAATTGAAATATTTTTTTTAGTTAGACCAAAATGCAACTATGTAAGTTATTTCTCAAGAAAATAATAAGAAATATGATATGATTAATGACATTAAAATATCCAATAAAAAATAGTAATAAAATCTCATAAAACAAACATTACAAATTATTAAGTCATAATGAAATTGATAATAATTAAAGTACTAAATCATGCTAAAATAAGAATAGTAAGCATTAGTTATATGACTAAATATTAAAAGAAAGTAAAATTAGATCATGTATTTTAATTGTCCAAATCTATGTAAAACTAAAAAATAAATATTCAATATTATTGTCATTCTTAGTCTTGAATTGATCTTGTTTTTGCATTAATATTAATTTGATTTTATTTAAACTTTATTATAATTAACAACATGTATGGACTATAAATTTTATTAGATCATTAAGAATTTCAACTTCCGAACATGAAATAAATATATTAAAAGATAAAAATTATTAAAAAGTAAAAGAGATATTTAAAAATTATTTCAAAGTAAGTATTTTACATATAAAATAAAAATTTAAAATTATATATTAATGTCGGGTTGATTTGGTCTCGGGTTGTTTTTCTTTAGTTGAAACCATACTAATCCAAATATAGTCGGGTTTTTTTTTAACACCAAATCACTAGTTGGAGTTTTTTCCGATTTAACTCGGTGTGAGATTTGGTTCGATTTTGTACACACCTAATACCATTGGTTAAAAGTTTGACTTATTTATACTTTTTTTTTCAAAGCTCATTTATATCGTTATTTATTAACTGAAATAATGTAGATGAGCTAAATTTTTAAAGAATGATATAGATAAATCTTTTATTAAAGTTTAACGATATATTTAAGCTTTCTCAGTTAAAAAAATTATTTAATTGAAGACATGACCAAGTCATAATTGATTCTCTGTAAAAAATAGCTTTGCCAAATGAAAGCTATTTTCAGCTAACAAATAATGGCATGGATGAACCATTTCTATACAAAAATGACATAAATGAGCCAAATTTTAAACGAATGACATAGATAATTTTTTTTTTAAAGTTTAACGTCATATTTGAACCTTCTGACTTTCTTTAAATGACGTATAAAGTCAAAATAGTCAAGTAAAAAAAATTAATAAAAAACTTCTATTTGTGGCTAGTTGAGTGTTTTTTTTCCTGTCTCATTACTTATATTAGATTTCAATAATTCAAATTTGCATCTTATAAATATGGTTCATTTCGAGTAATGCTTCATACCAAAACTTTCTAAACAATTAGGATTAAAAATTAAGATCGATAGTTAGAAAATAAATAATCTCATCCATTACACTATATCTTTTGATAATAATGTTTAATATTAATTTGTAGTATCACAAAATAGAATAATTTTTTCTGTTAAATTTAAATAAAAGTGAAAAACTCAAACCTAGTATATTTCTATTGGAATATGAATTTTTGTTACCTTGATGGCTAGATTAGCTTCTTATGGACAATCCTTTCTTCTCTACTTGTATTCTTTTATTTGAAGTTAGATTGAAAATTTTATAGTAAGTGAAATTCAAATATCATTCTCATTTAGATAGTGTTATGCTACATTAGTCATATTACTTTCTTCTGTGATATTGAAATATATGAAAATAGAAATCGAATAACAAATTAATAAGATAATAAATTGAATTACGTGAGATTATCTAAATTAATTTAATTTTTTTGAATACATGGCATGTACACTCACCATCCTCATCCATAAAAGGACCACAAAGACTTCTATTTGACTACTTGTAATGTGCAATTTCAACACCAATGATTTGGGATAGGAAACCCCTTCTCTCCCAAGGCAATAACCCCACAAATTGACATTTTTTAAATTTATTTTTTCCCTCAAAAATAAGAAAATTATTTTTTGTACATTGGATGCTTCTATCTACCCATAATCCTACATACATTTGTAGAATAGTAAGCAGAGGTGATCATCAACCAGGACAATGATAGAGTTGTAAGTACTTCTTTTATTCTTAGTTAAAAATCTCGATTATTTTGAGTTAGGTAAGATTTAAGATAAACACAATTTCTTACTTATATAATTTAATTCCTACCGAAAATTCTCGTCTCTTCTATTTTTTCCTCCTCATTTTTCATGGTCAGTCTCAACTAATTATTTACAATAAATAATACATGTACCCTTCAACCATCTAGTTTGGCAACATGGCCTATAGCCGCAATATACATTATCTACAGAACTTGGTTGTATATACATTAGTACAAAATATGCAATACATATATAATATATACCTATTTTATAAATTAGATATGCCAAAGGCATTCAACTGTATTTTTTTCATTTATCAGTTTCATTTATGAGATGGTATATTTGATTGGACATAAAATTTAAAGAATAATTTTTTTTTGAAAACATCTTTACGCTAAAACAAGTCATAAACAAACAAAAAAAATTTACACTAAAACAAGTCAAAAACATTTATATTTATATGATTATAAATTATTTTTTGAAATAGCAAGAGAACTTCAAGAGCCATAATTAATGATTTTCTCGTCTTTGTGTGTAGCACAAACAAGATAGACGTGTATCATCCAAATTAAAATCATTATCTATCAAGAACAAATACAAAATTCCTATCTGTTGAATATATGTATGATTAAAAATATATCCTAAGAGGCTAGAACAATTCATTCCACTTTAAATTTTAGGTATAAACGTCTAATTATAGATGTGGAAATCCAGGAACTGTTGTTTAATATTTCCACTTGTTTTCTTGTTTTCATAGAAAGAGACATTTAAGGAATGTGCTAAATGATTAGAAAATTTGGTCAGAATATGATCAGAAAAATAAAAAAATTATAATATTTCTTTTTATTTTAAAATAAATTGATATTTTTCCATTTTTAGTTAAATGTATTAAAGTTAAAAGGATAAAAATGTTTAAAAAGACTAAATAACATAAAAAAAAGATATTATCTTTTTTCTCCAAATTCAGACCAAATTTCTGACCAAATTTTTTTTCCCATTTATTAACTAGATTTTATATTGTCTTGAGAAGCAGTGTGTCATCATATTTCTTGCGTTGGACAAACAAATCTATGACTATTTTGTCTAAAAATATTTTCTTTGTTTTAACTTATTTTAAAATTTAAGAAAGTAAAGAAATTTTTAAAATTTTGCGATCTAATTAAGACTAAAGATACGTACACTATATAAAGTAGATTAGAGTTTTTGGGTTAGATATTGGAGTTTGAAATTTTTGCTACATAGGACTTCCTTTGCATTTACGACGCTATTACAATGTTTTGAATGTAAGGAAAAGGACCGAAAATGTGTTCCAAATAATGGGGGGAGTTGAAGGGTCGTTCATGGGTATAAACATAGATTTGAGCATAATTTATGAGTTGGAATGTCTGTATTCTTGCATATTTTGATAGTAAGGTACTTTAGAGACACCGATATGTAGTAAAATCGATGAAAACGAGAATTTTGGGCCGAGGGGCTCCATTGACACATCCTTTGGAGGTCGGAGACGATGAAGGTGTAATACATCAAAATTTAGAAAAGAAAGAAATGAAGTTTTTGGGTTGCAAGTTGTGCCTATGGATTTCTCTACGGACCATAGAAGCTTCTACAGGTCATAGATGACAACTGTAGGAAGGGGGAAAATAAAATTTTCAAATCAAGTCCTGATACCCCTTTTATGGTTCACAGGGATGATCTGTCATTCCTTTTACAAGTCGTAGATAGGTCATGTAAGTAAGTCTCTGACTTGGTAAAATTTTGAGGGTTAAAGTTAGTTTTTCTAGTTAGTGACTGCGGACCATAAAAAGACCTAGGATCCATATAAGTGTTTCGTCAAAAGATAGGTGATTTCGTGGTCCTAGTACTTGGTCTATGGTTAACCAGTATAGACAGTAGAAAGTCCTATGGTCCAAAGGTCGGAATCATAGGTCGAGTCTGACAGTTATTTTAAAAAAAAGACTTTTAGGTCTTTTTCTAATTGTTTTAATTCAATACTATGTCATTTTTCTTTCTACCCTAAGTCTTATATAAAACTTTTAAGCCCTAAATTACCATTATCTATTCATTATCCTAAATTCACTCCCCAAATTGATAACTAAATAAACTCAAAGATTTAATGTGATATAGGCACTTGATACCAATTATTAGAACTAAACTTTAAGAGATCCTTGGAACTTTTATGGTGTCCTCCACATCACCATAGTGTGAGAAAATGCACCCGTAAAAAGTCCATGCCACCGGGCAAATCTAATAATTATAAAAACTGAATATGTGCTGGAAGATTACATTCTATTAATGAAAGCAGTTGGGTATTAAATGGAGTTATAAGGAAAATATAAGAGTACTCCTAAATGAACTAAGCCAAAAGTAATTGTCACGACCTAAGGGTACCCCTTAAAAGTAACATGGCGTACTTGACCCCCAAGGGATCACATACAAGCCCTTAGCATATTATGAACATAAGATAATAGAAAATACATAAAATTTTAAAACTTTTACAATCGAAGTCATTTTCATAAAAATCAAGCGGAAGTCTTTCTTTCTTTGTCTCAAACCATCTAATATACTGTAGATTGAACTCTTGGAACACAACCATACAATAGTCTCAAAAATATGAAATAAATACATAAAGGAAATGGTTGGTTTGTCCTAGTAGCTATGAGGACTCACCAAGATCTTCAACTCCTTAGCTCCTTAGAAACCTAGCTTCAAGATAGCACTCAAGTCTCCAAACCCTACATTTGATTAAAATGTAGGCAATAAGAGTTAGTACAAAACGTACCAAGTATGATAGCTAGAACAACATAATAAAATCATTCCAAATTGCTTGTCAACATAAGACATGAGCATAAGAAATAACAAAATAATCATAGCATAATCATCATAGTCATAGCATAATCTCCAACATATGCTCATATAAACATAAGTCAACATAAGACATAGTTGATGAGCATATGAGATATGTCATAATCAAAATAAGTCAAGTCTTCATCATGAGCATCATATAAGCATAATTGAATCTTGGTCATCTTTTCCATAATAGCACCATTCCCAAGTAACCTCAAAAGCATAGAGTGCAAAACATGAATAACATCCCATAATACCACCTAAGCCAAGTATCCAGTTTTGGTCATCTTTTTATATCATATATATATGGTCAACTCTTAAGCTCTTTTTACCATAAGGGAACCATACTCCTAATTAACCTCAAAGCACACTTGTGCAATGCATGAAAGACACCCCATTCTTCCCTTCACACCAAACATAACTTTGAAGTCATCATAGTCATATTTACCCTACTTTAGACTCATTACTAGCTTACTTCATATAGACAAGGGACAAGGAAGGCAACTATAACACAAAGCTATATAAACATACATCATATAAGAGCAAACATCTCATGAGTCACCTTAAGGCAAGATTGTGCCATGCATGAACAAGACCATATAATCCTACCCATGCTAAGCTAGACACTTAGGTTCATCATTCATGTTCATCATATCTAAACATCATAAATACAAGGTTAATCATCTCTTAGTCATGTATGAAGTTGAGAGGTGTCTAGACCTACTATCCAAACTAGTCATGCTCATGTTCATAAATGCAAGAGGGGAGTCACCTCAAGGCATAAATGTTTAGTTCATCATGAAAGACAAGGGAAGTCACCTCAAGCCAGCCATATCATGGAATCATAAAGATAAGGCTATTCACCTCTAGCCATATCATGGAATCATAAAGATAAGGCTATTCACCTCTAGTCATATTTATCAGTGAATCATAGGTATTTGCCTCCATGTTCATTTTTAGAGGAATATAGGTATTCACCTCCATATTCATTTTAAGGTGATATAAGTATTAGCCTCCATATTCATTTTAATGTGTAACATAGGTAGTCATCTCCACATCACCACATAAGGATCATAGGTAATTGCCGCCATAACCACTCATAAAGGCTAATGGGTAATCATCTCTTGCCTTCTGAGTCGCACATATATAAAGGGTAATCACCTCAGAATCCTCATACATAAATAATTAGGAATAAGGGAACACACCAGACATTCCTATCATGTAAAGATCATTTGGAGGAATCACCACAAGCCTCGTCACATGTTAGAGTCCTAGGACTTAGATTCATTTTAGGCGAGAAAACCTTTCAACCTAGAATCATTCTACGTGAGAGAACATTTCATGTCATATCATGTTCATGCATAATATCATGTTTAGAATTCTACACTAGATATGGATACTAGGATAATCACAAGTGATTCTATCACTCTGTGCACTTACACACTCATAATGTAGATTAGGTAGGTATATACCTTCTACCACAATTCTATGCTTTAATTTTCTAATCTCACATATAAAATTTTGTCATGTCTCGCCTTTATCCCAGTGAAATTTTGCAACCAAATAGGCGTGAAGGTTCTAGAGTTGAAGTAAGGCTTATGAGAAACTCTAGAATACCTTAGACAATTCAATAATGCCTTAGAAAATCCTAGATAATGTAGAATTCTCTAGAAAGGAACCAATGTGCAAATATCTTAGGGACTTGTAAAGTAATTTTAAATTGCACTTTAGTCTTTAGGTGGTAGTATAAATAGAGGTGTCATTCATTTGCAAGGCATCACTCAAGTGTATAACAATCTTCCAAGCGTAATAAAAAGCATTCTTCCAAACTTTCCAAATCTTTCTAAGTTCTTCCTTTCATTCTCTTAGTGACCGTAGTCTTAGGCTTACCTGGGCTTACAGTATTTGGAAAGAATTGTAAGTTGTCAAGTGCCGCACGGAGCTTTAGCAAAAACTCTAAGTCCGTAACTCTTTACTCTCAAAGCCTTAACATTCATAGTTCATCATATTGGATTTACCTTCAAACATTAGTGATCAACATTTATGACTACAATCCTTACATTCAAGCTTTACTTCTTCAAACTTCATTCATACCTAGATTTCAAGGTATTCTAATCATATTCGTCATTACTACGTGATTTTAGTCATAATTGATCATAAAGGTTCAATTCTAACTTTACATGTCAACATTCATCATACACAATAGAGTCTAGTTCAATTTATGATAACATTCATATTATCCTAACTTTGAACAATTACTACACATGACATTGATTTAGAAAGATCACTCACGAACCTTCAATTTCACCTCTAATGACATAAACTCACAAAATATCACATTTATCAAATAGACTAGGGTTTACCATATAAATCAAATGAGTTTATCTTAATATCACAATTCAATTCCAATACAATCATAATTAGGTATTATCCACTACATTGGAATCATACCTAATCCCTACCCACAATGTAAGAAGAACCCTAGCTAAAATTGGGTTTTTGCCTTCAAAATTGGGAAATAAGGGGATCTTTGGGGGAAGATCTCATAGATGAATAAGATAAACATACCTCTTTTCAAATACCTAAACTAAGCTTGAATCAATGGTGAAAATCGACCTAAGTTGCTGCCCCAACTTCTTTTCTTTTTCTTTTTCTTCTTCGCTTCTAGAGAGAAGATTTCTTGGAGGGAATTTGATTTTATTGGTCTTCTTTGACCCGCGGGTGCGAATTGGTAGCTGTGAAACTAGCTCTGGCTTGATGACTGCTTTACTTTTCGCCTTTTTTTGGGGCATAGAAGGAGTTGATCCTGGTCGAGGTAAATGGATTTAGGAATTCATACCCTCTCACTTTTAAAATGACTTAGTTTAGGGGCCTGTTAATCTAATATAGGTGTCTAAATAACTAACTATACGACCTACCTTAACCCCTAATTAATTAACTATATAACCCCCAAATCTTTAACTAAAACTGAAAAATGACCACAACTGCCTAGACCTATGACTCCACCACCTACGGATCGTAGGTAGAGTCACAGAGCATATTAAACCCTTAGTGGGTGTGGTCTGTGGCCTAATGGTGTAGGACTTGACCTACGGCCCTACCTACGGGGCGTGGGTCCATCTACGACCAGTAGGTGGAAATTGTAGGTCACCAAAAGTTGCAGCTTTTAGGGACTATTTTGGGATCCTCCTTGGTTCTTAGGGAGTTGTACCCGAACGTTTAAACCCTAAACACCTCATTCTTAGTACGTGAGTTTATTTTTACAATCTTAACCCTCATACAACACTCCTAAACTCTTACGAAAGGCTCTAGAACTCTTTATTTTAACTTACAATTTATGGGGTGTTACAATATTCTAAATAAATAATAATTGTTTAACTAACTAATGCAATATCCTACTAAGAATAATCTAATAAATCATGTTTGAACTAACTCGTGATGTTCTAATATGCTCCCTCAAGTTAGGCGATGAGTTACCAAACCAACTTGAACATATTAGTCTAAAAAGTAGATTTAGGCAGTGCTTTAGTGAGAGTGTCAACTTTTTGATTGGCACCACGAACATTAATTATACGAACCTTTATGATGTTAACATGGAGGAAGACAAAGTGAAACTCCACACCAACATACTTTACACGACTATGGAGAACTTGATTTTTGCTCAAGAATGTGTCTCCAAGATTGTCACAATAATTTTTAGGTAAGAGATGGACTAGAAATCACAGCGCATTTAAGAGATAGGTGAATGGAGGAGTGTGGGATAATATTTTTCTACTTTACGGACCAACTTATCGGATTGTAACCAAGAAACAAGATTTAACCAGATGTAGAAACTCTATCAACAATTCCCCCACTACAATATGCATCAGAGTATACATATAGATTGAATTCATCAATGAGAGTAACATGTAGGCCATGTTTAATGGTGCTACACAAGTATCATAGAACAAATTTTATAGCCTTCCAATGAAGGTCTGATGGTGCTTGCATGAATTGAGACAAGTTCTTCACTGCATTGGCTATATCTGTTCTAATGAAAGATAGGTATTGAAGCCTACCCAAGACTTAGCAATAACATACAATATTTGTCAAGTAAGTTCCATCACACAAGGTGAATAAATCATATGCACTCATTGACATGCTAACACTCTTGCAGTTGGTCATTAGTTCATCATATAAAATTTCATTCACATAATTTACTATGGTGAGAATTAAACCGATAGAGCTGCGTATCATTTCAGCACCAAGAAAGTAGTGAAGGTTACATAAATCTTTTATAGAGAACTTAGAAGCAAGGGAAGTAATAACCTAATTGACACTTAAATTATTGCTCCCACTGATATTAATATCGTCTACATAGGAAAGGATAAACAAAGTGTCACCTTCACTATGTTTGGAAAGTAGCGAGGCATCATATAACATCTTAAAAAAGACTATGGATGAAAGATAACGTGTGAGGTTATTGTACCATGCCCAAGGAGACTATTTTAAGACATAGATATATTTTAGTAGTTGACATATACACGTTGGTTTTTCATCACTAGTAAAACCCAGAGATTGTACCATATACACCTCCTCTTCTAGGTTGGCTTGGAGGAAGATATTATTGATCGCTGGCGAAAGTCCAGTTGTGACGACGTGCCATATAGAGGATAATGCAAATTATAATGGTGCACATTATAATGGTCCTTATACTCTAGACCTCACACGCGGAAGGACCTCACGTAACAAAATCCCATAGTACAGTATTCCATGAATCATTTTCGACTACCTTTGTCAGGAAATCTCACATAAGGATAAGGTTGTTCCTGATTGGCAACCATTTGAGTTATGAATTTGCAAATGCATGAATATCAAGTTAAAATTCGTAAAATATCCTAACAAAATATTTGTGAAAAAGATACTATCGAGAATTTTTTGCTATAGTTTCCTCTACTATAGCGGAAAGCAAAGCCTTTATATCGACCTTCATTATCTTCAACCTGCAACAGATGCATCAATCACACCCCTTGAACCAAAAATCCTGCTTGAAATGATTTTACTACATATAAGTATTTTTAAAATATGTACCTACTATAAAATATTCAAGAATCCAGATATTCCAGCTCCTAAATCATGCCCAAATCTAGGTTTATACCCAAGAGCAATCTTTTAACTCCTCCCTCTATCTCAGACCCATTTTCGATCCTTTTATACAAAATCCTTATACTCAAAATGTTGTAGTAGAGTTGTAAATACAAGCAAAACCCCATGCTCTAACAATTTCAACGACCAAGAGAAAAATTTCAAATCCCAATATTTGACCCAAATACTCTAATCTACTCTATTAATTTTACCACGCAGTAATCAGTATGCACCTTGTACGTAATGAGGGCATAAAAGTAGAGACTGTGTTACCTTGATTTGAGCGTTAAGGCCAAATTGATTAGAGAAAGTTTGGGAATTCAAAGAAAGTAATGAGAATTAAACTCGTTCCCCTCCTTTATCTTCACTTTTGATACATGACAAGCAGCTATGACAACATCTTTATATAGCGGGGTCCAATTTATGTGGGTGGAATTTTTTTTTATAAACATTGAGACCAAAAATACCCTTCTTTTTTATTATTAACCGACCCAATATGTCAACATCAATCGTATCGTGTATTCACAACCTCCCTGTCCTTTTTCTCTGTAGACAGTGTTGGAGATTCACATATAACAAAACTACTCTTTACAGCTAGACACTTCTTTACGCACTCTTCATGGTACTCATACCGACAGTTAAGAATGCAATATTTTCCAAGTCTATAATAACGTGATTAATGTATGAATGTCATAGGAGCTATATCAAATAAAAGAAATATAGTTCTACGAAAAAGCAAATCAAGTAAAATGTTAACAACACATAATTGAATACAATAGTAATACTCATGCAAAAGGTATTAATACTGCCTATTTAGATCTAGAAGCTAACCTCCCTAAGCTTACCCTTAATCTAGATAAGACGCAAACTTCAAAGAAGGTAGAAAATTACAACATAGAGGCCGTGGAGAGAATATTCTAGGTGGACAACCAAAAAGTTTCTTTGTAAGGTTTCTTTATCATGCAAATAAGAATGTTTTTTGGTTGTCCACCCGAATGATTCCACCTCAACCTACAGGTTGTGATTTTATTCGTTCTTTGAGGTTGTATCTTATTTACATGCAGGGTGAGATTATATAGGTTAGCTTCTAGTAGTAAATAAACATTAGGAATCCCTCATTGCTTCTACATGACAATTAATCCCCTATTCAATTATGTGTTGTTAAAATTTTGATTTATTTTCTTTTTCAGTGAAGTTATATTCCTTTTCATATTGATTATTTCTTTGAAATAACTTTGATGACCTTTCTATGTTACACGCGTTATTGCAAACTGAATACACATACAAGGAAAAAAAATTTGGCATTCTTCATTGTGGGCATGAGTACCACGAAGAGTGTGTGAAGAAATGGCTGACTGTGAAGAATAATTATGCTATTTACAAATCTACAACATTGTCTATTACGAAAAAAGACAAGGAAATTGTGAATATAAGAGGCGATCGATGTTGCCATATTGGATCAATGAATAACAAAAAATGATAGCATTTATTGACCGATCGATATAACAATATTTATTATCCCACTAAGATAGACCCGCCATAGTGGTCACAATGCTGCTATAATAAATACCTAGAAGGTATAATGCTTGTCGAGGATCAGAAGTAAATATAAGGGAGGTGAATGAGTTTCATTCCCATTTTCGTCTTTGACTTCTAAAACTTCCCATTTCCGTCTTTGACTTCTAAAACTATGTCTAATCACTTCACTTCAAATGTTGAAATGAAGGTAACAATAACAGTCTCTACTTTTATGCCTTTTTAGTACATACTTATTAATGCATGCTAAAATTCAATAGGGTAGATTCGAGTTTTTGGGGTTAAATATCAGAATTTGAAATCTTCCTCTTGTTTGTTGAAATTATTTGATCATGGGGCATTCCCTTTCATTTAAAATACTACTACAACGTTCTGGGCATAAGGATTATGGAGAAAGATAGGGAAAATGGGTCTAAAATAATTGGGGGGGGGGGGGGGAGATATGAAGGGTTGTTCTTGGGTAGAAACTTGATTTGAGCATGATTGAGGATCCTCGACCCGCCCTTTCAAGCTGAGTGAGGGAATTTTTTGCTCCTCTTATAATGTTCCACTAGGAGTCCCTTGGAATTTCTTTTGCATTTGGGAGGAGGGGGGAGGGGGAGGAGGAGGAGGGAGGGGGTGTTGCATTTTCTGTGGATGTTCAGATAGTGAACGAGTTTTTAAGGATGTCAGACGTTCCTAATGATGAGTTAGCGGTCAAGTTGAAGGTAATGTATATGAGGTGGTTGTATTACTCATTATTCAACAATGAGTACTAGAGTATGGTATATTGGCCCACTAATAAGGGAACTACTAATGCCTATTTCTTTATAAATGCGCACATGTGGATATAGTGTTTGCAGGAGGATTCACCCACTAGGAAATCTTACTAATGTAATTTATCCCATGCTTTAGTACTGGAATTTGCCTATTAACGAACCAATTCAATGTGAGGGCAACAAAATGTGAGAATGTAAGGATTTCTACTGAGGCAACAAGTTGGGTTCGCCTTTCATGAGTTAGTATTTGTTCTTTGCAAATGAGTTAGGGTACCCGTGGATGATACATACAAGATAGATGAGATGGCCCCCTTATTCAATCCCTTACTGGTAAAGAAGCTTCTCACCCTCGATAGCAAAATGAATAAGGTAGATGGAGTTGGGATCAGTTGTGTTGTAGTAGGTTCAGGCAAAGAGGGTGATATCGATGATGAGGGAATTTCCCTTCTTCCTAGTCCCAGCACCTACCCTCCAATAGTCATGTGTATGATGCCTTAGTTGTTGTTTGTAAAGCTTTTCCTTTATTGGTAACATGATCTCATCTGCTATTGCCGAGGAGAACGAGTTGCTTCGTACCAACTTAATTGAGAGCAGAGGAAGAACAAGGTATGAGACCGCCTAATTGGCTGGATGTGAAAGACTGTCGATGTTATCTTTACATGAGTTGCTCCCCAGCAGAAGTTTCCTACACTTGATCCAGAGGAATTTGTGAAGTTCTCCATCTGGAGCTAGGTGTGGACATGCGAGTGGGCCCTATAGGACCTTGCATCCAAGTATGCAACTTTCTCCCCCCTTTGGTTATGTTTAAAGTAGATTTGGTTTTTTACCCATTTGGGCATGAAGACATCTTTACTGTTTTAATTTTTCTGTTAGCACATGAATGATCGTACTAACTTTTAATCACAGATATAAATGTGAAGGTTGTTTTTAGATATATTGATATGTTTGTTGCACAAATGTATGATAAGAAATTAGGTATTTAAGGCATTTTAGGAACAATGCCAAATAGGGGGATTAATGTAGCGACCCTGTCCCGCTATAGCAATTGACACACCATTTTGGCAATAAGATTTACATTATAGGGGGATCAATGTAGCGACCCTGTCCTGCTATGTCGGCCTCGACAAGCTCAACCCAAAGAGTTGAAATTATGCAACACTCCATATTCTTATGGAACTCCTCTAACACAACTTTAAATAATAAAATATTTCACCAGATCATTCCCGCACTCGTATGATGCAATGCTTTTCATCATGGCATTAAACATGACCCAAAGATCGTTCCTAGAATACATAATAGAAACTCACTCCATACGATCAAAAAATTTAGGACTAAACTACACCCAATGTATGATTATTTAACACATAGGAACTTATCATTCAGTTATCACACATAAGTAGGTTAAAAATTTTCCTTGGCCATAATCTCACAGAAATTCAAACCACGCAGTGCACACAAATTAATTAGGTTTATTATAATTTATTCGCATCAGGGATGACCACTAGCTGACCATCCATACATTAAAGTGACTTTAAATCCAAATACCTATTGAACATACCCGGTTCCAATCTTTTATTGTTTGTATCCCTTTAGCTGTGACTACGTCATCCATTTACTTCGTATAGATATCCATTGGAATTCGGAAATGCCAGTAGAACTCAACCTGTACCTCAAGTAAAGACCGCACAAAACGAGTGAGTAAGTGGGACTATGTCCAAGAATAATTTATACATCACTAAAGGTTAAATATGGACATCAAAACACTAAGACTTGGGACATTATGAAACGAATAGCCCGGTCTCTCTGCCTAATTATCACGAGGCAACCCTCTAGGTCGTGCTGACACCTAATGAAATACTTAGATAGGTGAACTCTTGTGAAAATAATTAAAGATAAGGAATATATTCAATGCGTTGGAATAAACATGAAAACTCAAGAATAAGAATCATCTTTCTTATAGTTATTAGAAATTTCCTCTAAAGGAACTAGTGTCAAAAGGTACAAGAGTGACTAAAAAGATACAATGTTTAAAAGAAAAGGCAAAAAAATTCACCATAGGAAGTAGCAGTAGAAGTTGTTGAAGATCATCATCGTCTCCACCTATGAAACATCACTGAATCCTGCAACCAGACTATATCTAGTGGCATAGCAAGAGAGTAATTATGCAAACAACATATAGTGGTAGGCATCATCAGTTGACCCGAACTCACCACATAATATCTTGCAAAAGAACCAAAGATACATGCATCTTGAATATGAAATAATTGCCCCCTCCCCTCTACCAATTCATCCGCGTGCTACCTCGCTCAAGTGTCATTACCTCGAAGCCAAAATACCACTAAATCTTCTGCTGTCAACTCCATTCACACTAGATCATAGCCTAGTCTGTGATAATATAATCAATCCTCGAGCACTCCTAATCGTACAACTAATCCTTACCTTACACACTCTTATTATGCAATATGTGAAACAACGACCCCAACTTAATTATCAAACCAATATAAGCAATTCCAACCACCACTATAAACTAGCCTGAACTTTCAAATTTCACAATCAATACTTACAACATTTAATATGTCCTTTCTATCAACACAAGAAACGACCCCGACATTTGAACATATCAATCCGGTCCTTCAGAGACCAACACACACAACAACATATGTATAGGTTCCAACAGGGCACCCGATCCAATACTAATATATATATATATATATATATATATATATATATATATGACATTGATTATTCCATTTTGTAGCCTTTTGATTTCAAGACTTTCCTTAAAGAAGACTTAACCTAAAGCTTCACCTTAAAGTGGAAGTAACCTTTTGCCACAATATTTCTTAATCCAACTTTTTAAAAATATTTTATACTAACCAAGATGAATATATATTTAATGACAACAAGTTATTCCATAAAATGGCCTTAATGAACAAGATCTTAGGGGAATTAACAACCCCACTAATTCAAAATCCACACTAGATGAAAAGAATAACAAAATAATAACAAAAGTTCTTGTTAAGTCATAACTGAAATAAACTCAAACATTTAATGCGATATAGACTCTAGATTTCAATTTTAGAGCTGAACTTTAGATATACAAACCATCGTCTTTTCTCAAGATCTATGATGTGAAACCATTGAGGACATAATACTTGATACAAAAGCTTACCTGAATCCATAAACACCATAGCGTTTCTCCATCTTTTGGTTGTGAATCTTCCAAATCAAGACGTATGCGGTACTATCCTTTCCAATGATGGGGTGCGAGAAAGAAAACCCTACATAATTTGGGGATCAAAAACCTTTTTTTATAATAGGCACAAGTTTAGGTAAATCTAATCTAACCCATCATTAAACTAGAAATTACATTTGATACCACAAACTTTGTAAGGTGTCGTTTAGGCCCATTAACTTCAAGATCAGACTTTTAACTATAGAAATCAACACACAATTATTCTTCATACAAATATATATGGAAGCCCATAAAATTTCTGACATTACAGCTTGTCAAAGATCATAAATTGAAAAACACAAGCATTTTTTATGAGTTTGTGAGCACATAATTTAATTATAGGTCTTGATTTCATTCATCTACCTTTATTTGTCTCTATTTCGTTCATAATTTCATGTGGAAAGAGTTTGTGCTAATTAAATGTCGTGATTTAAGCTAAATTTTAAGCGAAATAAACGTTTTTGAAAAAAAAATTGATAAAAAAAACCCCTCAAAAATCAACTAGTACTTCATTTATATGCCTGACTGATAGACCAATATTTGTTCCTGCAGAATGTAATGAATAAAAGAAATGCAGCTTTTGATACAAGTCCTAAAATAATACTGTAATCTTTATATATATGTGTGTGTGTGTGTGTGTGTATATATATATATATATATGCATATATGTGTGTGTATATATATATATATACATATATATATGTATATATATACATATGTATGTATATACATATGTGTATATCTATATGTATATATATATATATATATATATGTATACACACACACACACACACACACACACCAATTGTTTATGTTAATGTTAGTTATGTGATTACTTCATGAATTACCTTATATTATGTGTTTATTACACATTTTTAGGTTGATTGATGTATCTATTCCTTTGAAGTGATAAGAAGTATGAAGGTTGGTTCTCCATGGAACTCATGTATGAGAGGTGAATCATTTAGATAATGACGATTCTGCATCTATTGTATTGTTGTGGTATTGATGTAAAGGTTTTCTCATCCTTAACCCTATAAACTTTAATTAAGTATGAAGTAAGTATGTATTCTATGTTAAGGTTGTTATATGATTGAAAGGTAGTTCTCATGATTATAATGTAATGATAAAGTGAAAGGCTTACTCAGTTGGTAGTGTTTCTAAAGCGAAAGTACCATTATCACTTTTGGACACTTATGAACTATTATGATAAGATGTTGACATAAATTCCTAGTAAAGACTAAGGTGAAATTATGTGAGGGGATAATTGGGTAACACCGAGAGGACATAAAAATGAGATGGGACTATATCTTAGTGGATCCACTTAGATAGTATTAAAAGCCTTAGGCAAGAAAACCTCTCTTTTCGGTGTAGGAGTAAAACACCGGATTCCATGTTGCTCACATGGTCTATGTCGATTATTGCAATCTTTCCCTAAATAAAAAAGTAAATGAATGAATAAATGAATGTAAGGTTATGAATCCCACTAGGGATTTCTTGAGGGGTTCTACATAGTAGAAGAAAAGGCATGAGACTTCTCTTGCACATTGCACATTTAAGATTTCAAGAGGGGTTTGTAGTAGGGTTCTCTTTTGATTACGTTTATTTTGGATTATGTATTGTAAGCTATGTATGGGTATTATGAACATTGTTGGATTCATCTTATGGTATGCTTATGATGATTATGATGTTATGGCATATTAATGTTGTAGGTGGTTATAGTTGACACTGAGCTTTTGATGGGGTTATGGGATCCTATCAAGGGCATTGAACTAGTGTTGCTTATATATTGGGTACTATTTTGTTGATTTGGCTTATGTTCGTTGCCTTGAATGTATATTGGGTTTTACTTGTTAAAGAGCATGTTTCCAAGTATAATGTCTTTTTCTACATATTTGAAATGTTTTATATGCATAGCACCATACGTAGTACGTGCGTTATACTAACCCATATTGTTTTACTTTTTCCCAACAAATGTAGGTTCGATCCATTAAGGTGATTCAAGGCCATTTCTCTAGAAGCTTGGATTTTCTTTCCCAAGTTGGTGAGTCTTCAAGTCTTAGGATAAAGCACCTAAGATTCTAGCTTTAGTTCATTTCGTATATTTGATAGACTATGTTGTTCTATCCTATTCTAAGACTTTGTATTGATGTAAGGGCCATGTACCAATTTTCATATTTCTTTTGTCTATATGCTACTATGAGAAAAAAGTTAGTTTTTTATTTTGGTATATAGAAGAAGTTGACTTTTAAATTGTAAAAGTTTTAAAAATTCCATATTTTTCCATGACTATATGCGAGAATGAATGCTTAGGTCTTGTATAAGACCTCTTCGAGGTCGTCGACGCCGGTTACGACTAGGGGGTGCTCTTGAGTCGTGATAAACTTGGTATCAGATTCTAAAGTTGGAAATATTGTAGGATTAATGTCTCAAAATATCACGTCTAGTTGAGTCTTATTCATGGGTGTGAAGTGCGTCACACTTATGAATGAGAGTCTATGAGATGTTTAGGAACTTTCACTCTTTTGTCATTCATTGGTCGTGCGTAAGATTCTTGACTTTATCTAGTTCTTTCTTATAACCATTTCTTGTGCTTATAGACAAGGAATACAAGAAGAACTACTGCAAGGAGGGTCGAGAAGAAGAATGTGAATGAGACGCTTACCCCTCAAGCTCTTCAAAACCCCCAGAATCTATTGAAGAAAGAGCTATGTATAATGTTGAGATAAGGATGACCATTCATAGTTTGACTTAAGTGTTGGAAACACAAATGTCTAGGGACACTAGGGTGCAAGTGAACTCCAATTCCAACACAACCGCTTCTCAGATTAGGGATTTCACAAGGATTAATCCCCATAGGTTTTTTTGGCTCCAAAGTGAAGGAGGACCCACAACGGTTCATTGATGATGTGTATAAGGTGTTAGATTCTATGAGTGTGTCCTCTCAATAGAAGATGGAAATAGCTGCCTACCAACTCAAAGATGCGACTCAATTTTGGTATGAACAGTAGAAAGAAGAGAGATCCATTAGAGAGGGTCCGATAGGTTGGGCATACTTTAAGGAAGATTTTGTTGATAGGTTCTTCCCCTTGGAATTAAGGGAGAGGAAAGTGAAAGAATTCATCAATCTTCATTAAAAAATATGAGTGTGAGGGAATCTATCCTCAAGTTTAATCAACTATCCAAACATGCTTTTACTATGCTGGCGGACTCTAGGGCTAAGATGAACATTATTGTTACGGGGAGATCAGATCTTGTGGTGAATGAATGTAGTTCAACTATGTTGATTCCTAACTTGTATATAACTCATCTCATGGTTCATGCAAAACAAATTGAGGAGCAAAATCTTAAGCAAGTTGGTAAGGAGTTGAAGTAGTCAAGGGCCGATGATTGAAATTATTCCTAGGCTAAATTTGAAGTTCAAGATAAGCTAAAGTTAAAAAATAGGTTTTCAAACCAGGCTACTTCTAACATTCCAAGGGTTAACAAAGGTGGGGAGTCTAACCCTAAACCATAAGTAAATATGAGTGGTGGTTATTTTGTTTAAAAGCTAAATTGTGCAAAGTGTGGTAAGAATCATGAAGGCAAGTGCCTAGTTGGCATGGGTAATTGTTATGGTTGTGGTAAGAGTGGCCACAAAAGGAGAGATTGTCCTATGTTGAAGGTTCAAGAAAGGGAAAATGCTCAAGTACAAACAGATGTTCCTAAATCTAATGCTCCTAAGAAGAATCGCTTCTATGATCTCCAATCCTGAGGTGATCAAGAGAGCTCTCCGATTGTTGTTACCGATATGTTGCAAGTACTTTCAATTAATGTTTATGCATTGTTGGATCCCGGTCCAATTTATTCTTTGTAAATCCTTTATTAGCTATGAAGTTTTATGTGCTCCCCAATGTCTTAGATGAACCTTTTTCAGTTTCTACCCAAGTCGATGATTCTGTTGTTGCTAAAAGAGTCTATAGGGGTTGTCCCATTTCATTGCCCAATAGAGTCACATTGGTGTATTTGGTAGAACTTGATATATTAGACTTTGATGTCATATTGGGAATGGATCGACTGCATTCTATTTTTGCGCTAATTGATTGTAGAACCCCAGTAGTCAAGATTTATTTTCCTAATGAACATGCGTTAGAATGGAAGGGAGGAAACTCAATACCTAAAGGTCGAATTATTTCATGTCTAAAAGATTGTAAGTTGATTTCTAAGAGATGTCTCTATCATATTGAGTCTCAGACTGCTCCTTTAGATTCGATCCCCGTAGTAATGGATTTTCCAAACATCTTTCCCGACGACTTGCTCGGATTCCTCCCGAACGGGAAATAGATTTTTGCTTAGATTTATGTTGGATATGAAACCAATATCTATCCCTCCTTATCGGATGGTCCCACCTAAATTGAATTAATTAAGAGCTCAACTTAAGGATGTGCTAGATAAGAGTTTTATTCAACCAAGTATATCTTTATGGGGTGCATCGGTACTATTTGTGAAAAAGAAAGATGGTTCATTAAGAATGTGTATTGACTACCATCAATTGAACAAAATCATTATAAAGAATAAGTATCCACTCCATAACATTGATGAATTGTTTGACCAACTCCAAGGAGTGAGTTACTTTTCAAAGATTGATTTGAGGTTGGGTTATCACCAACTTAGAGCGAGAGGTATTAATATTCCAAAAACAGCCTTCCGAATAAGGTATGGTGACTATGAGTTCTTAGTCATTTCCTTTGGTTTAACTAATGCCCCGTCGGCTTTCATGGACCTTATGAATAGAGTCTTTAGAAGTTATCTTAATTCGTTTGTGATTGTCTTTATTGACGATATTTGGTATATTCAAGGAGTGATAATGACCATATGAGACACTTGAGGATAGTTTTGCAAGTACTCAAGGATAACCAACTATTTGCTGAATTCAATAAGTGTGAGTTTTGTCTAAGGTTGGTGGATTTTCTTGATTACATTATTTCAAGTTAGGGTGTAAGTGTCGGTTCGACGAAGACAGAAGCAGTTAAAAAATTGGCCTAAACCCTTAAGTCCTACCGACAT